TTGGTGGGGGGTTGGAGCTTCGTGATCCTTGAGCTCCCTTCCATCCCAAGGCATTCTGTGATTCTGTGATTATTTGCTGTAACTTACACAGTTACTATTTGTGCCTTTAACCATGAAAATTTACTTGAGAACAAGAGAATTTGTTACTATTTAAAACGAACAATGACTTGAGTTGCAATGTGCCCTACAAAACTGTTGTCAGTTTGGCAAGACTGCAAAGACAGCAGCTCAAACACAGATGTGGGTGATGTGAAGACAGCTCAGAGAAGCAAGCAAGATCTGCCCAGATCTCCTGGCCTCCTGTGTGTAAAGGCAGACCAAAAAGTCGATCTTTGCAGTCAAAAGTAGAAGTAATTTCAGTCCTTTCTACCATTATGAAGTTTAAACTTCTTTCTTTTGTATTTTTTGAAAGGTCAAAACACAAAAACACAAAAAGCTGCGAGAAAAGTGACTTTAAACAAACAATATCAAGAGAGTTGGGGAAACATTTTGCATCTGCATTCAGTTATTGAAAATTGTGCATCTTAAACAGCTCTTGCAGAACTGCCTAAGGTTTAATATCTGTTAAATGCAGGACTGGAAATGAATTCAGCCTTTTTATCTGTAATACAGTAATGAATGTTTTTATCACAAAGAATGCAAATTCTTGTTGTCACCAGCTTTCATATAGGCACTGTATCAGCATATCTGTTGTCTCTCAGTTAGTTCCCTCTAAAAATACCCAGAAAAGATTATTTGTTTGAAGATGGAAATAGTGCAATAGTGTACACCATCACAAGACACCTCCTTATCTCTCCAAAAGCCTTGCAGCAGCAAACAATTTTGCATCAGGCTTCCAAAGATGAAGAATTCCAACAGCATACAGAAAAATGGTTTGAAAAACCCCCAGCTGTGGGGCTGAGGATGTATCTGAATGACTTGCACTTCCATCATAGCTTCTGTTTGACTTCTAGTTGTGCTGTGTCATGCCAGAAAATGCTGAATGCTCTTTTATGGGGGCATCACCCAGACCAGGAACTGGTTGATTTTTATCAGACACGTCCAGTGAATTCACCTCGTGTCAGTCCCTCATTCACACCCCTATTTGGTAATAATATATGTATCTGCAAGGGTGCAAAGGAGATCTGATCACTCCCAGTGTGAGCAGACACAAAGTGATCAAACACACAGCACTAAGGGTATCCAGGGCAAAGAGTGGAGCACTCCAATTGCTTTCAAAGGTTCAACTCATCTTTAGCAAGCAAAGATTCATCACAGACTTCACACTGAGGCAAGAAGAAGGCTCTAAAAACTGCTAACTCACCGTGTTACATTCCTGCACATCAAGAGCCAAACATCACCTGCTAGGAAGGATAATCTTAATATGCTTAGAATACATTTGGAAGTGAAGGGCAGCTCTTTGGTGACCCTCAGCATAGGGATTAGTCACCTAACTGTAACTGCTGCTCTGCAGAGTGGGAAACAGAGTGTCAAGCCTTGGTGAGTGCAGCCTGCTCTGCCCTTACACTGCCCTTCCTCGCTGCTGTGCCTGGCAGCCTGCAGATAGCACAAGTAAGGCAGCTTTACAAATTGATTACATGCTAAAAATGCAAATTCATAGGAGTCTTTGAGATATGAGCATCTCAGGGTCACGTTGTTCAGATAAAGCTTAACTTCAGCATTCAGCTGTCATCTGTAACTGTGACATTATTTACATTCTGGCTGTTATTAATAGAGGCAGGCTGAATAGCTTAAATTCCTGCTCCCCCCTCTACTTACACCGTGATGTAACTCACAAGGCTACAACACTGCAAAGTTCAAAATCCATTGCATTCATCCACTGTGTTGGAATAAGTCTGAGAAAAAGATGTTTTTCTGTTTGTAAATTGCTCCTCACAGGAGCTGTTATGAGCAGAGCCCAAGAAACAAACAAAAGAAACACAGGAAAACAAGAATTGAAACAAACACAGCAACAACAACAACAAAGGGCCTCGTTGAGGGTTTACCTTTTAAACTGAGATGCATTGCTCTTTCCACAAGGATGCTGACAGCAACGGTGCTTTCCAAAAACGCCACGTCGTCTTCTTGTGGTTTCCCATTGGTGATTTCTGAGCTTCTGACATCCAGGCTCTGAGCCTGATTTCCACAGACCTGCTGGCTCGGGTCAGGCTCTCTCTCTGTGCTTTCATCTTCGCTGTTGCTGTGCTCCTCTGTGCAGCGTGGGGTGAGGGTTGGGGCAGCAGAAGTGGAGGAAAAGGCAACGTGAACACGTACAGCAGCCCCTGCGAGGTCTGCAGCATTGCACCTGAACAACGGGTACACTCCTGTAAGAGAATTCACTGTCAGCTAAAGAAACACAACAGCACACAACCTAGGATGACCTCGGGAGAAGCTCATTATTGTCAAGATCTCAGATCAGATCAGCAGCCTGAATTTGGATTTTCAGTGTTACCTCTATGCAAGGAATCACTGACCTGTCCACAAACCTGCCTGGGTGCTGGTGGCTGAGCTAACTTTACAGCCAGGACAGATATCAGAAACTGAACAGAGCAGAAGTTTCCATCATCTTCTCATGCTCAGTCATTGAGATACATTATTCTCACCCTACCCAATATGCCATTCTGGAGAAACATTCCTCATTAATCCAGCTAGGCTAATGGCTTTCCCTGTTAATGATCACTGCTGGCAACTTTGCACCCATTTAAAGTTATTAGGTTTTGAACTCAGGGAAGCAAGCATCTTAAACTTGTTTATCTTCAGTGAAAGGAGCTGAGCACGTATTACACAAAGGACAAAACAAAGCTGTAAATTCTTTGCTTAATTACAGAATTAAGCAACCAGGTATCAATAAAGACAACTGAAACATGACATCGTTCTTTCTGGACTTACCACCAACACTCAGTGATCTCCTTGACCTCTCTGCTAACGCTCTGAGGTCGACGTATGCAGATCCAATGAGACGATCTGTATCAAGTGGTCTTTCCACACCATTTTCTTTGCCATATGCCCACCACACCTGGATTTCTAATTTCTCCTCCCTGAAGAACCAAATCAGCCCTCGGCTCTTCCTGAGAGTCACCTTGTGGCCTTTCTTAAAGTTCACTGTAACGTTCTTGTTGTCCTCAGACAATTTTGGCCTCTTAAGCAAAGTCCACGTGGCTTCCTGATCATACAGCTTATACCTGAGGTAGCAGCAAGTGCTTTTATTCAGTTGCATCTGGCCTGCAAGCAGCACGCAGTGCAGTGGCAGCCACAGTCTTGGGGTTGAAATGGTCACAACCACCTCTCTGTCACTCGGCTCCCATTCATCGTCCTCATCCATGCTGTCTTCAAGGCTTTCCTCACCGTTCCATCCCAAAAGCTGAGCAGCCTCCAAAACACGCTCCCTGTCACTGTGATGAGCAAAAGTAACAGAAAGTTCCAGTCCTCCCACAACAGTCTGCGTGATGTTTGTGTGGTGTGAAGGCATGACATCTTCAGAGAGGGTAACTGGGTACCAGCCTGTAATACCTTCAGGAGAAAATAATGTAATTAGACTTATCCTACCCCCTGAAAAATGTCAGCAAAAGAACATTCTGCTCTCTGGTCATTAGCCAAGAACCAGAACTCACAGAATGACAGCATGGCCTGGGCTGAAAAGGAGCACAGCGCTCATCCAGCTCCAAGCCCTGCTGTGTGCAGGT